TTCACCTGATATCAATTAATAGCACATTTATCATTTCTATTTTAGAAATTACTGTCTGGCAGCTGTCTTCTAACAAAAAAAAATATTCTTTATTCAGTGAAAAATCTTTCTGTGAGAAAGCAGCTAAACAAGCTGCACCCAGATGGCAAACCAGCTACAGTTTAATTAATCCACTAAAAGCCATTCAGTTTTCAGTAAGGGTAATGTAATTTTGAATAATTGTAGGAAAAAAATCACTAAACGTTCTTAAGTTTTATTATAGCGGCATGAACAGTGCCACTATAGAGTAGTTAAAGTTGAGTTGCTGTTTCCATTATAAACCTCACATTTTCTGTAGCTTGGTCCTTTCAGATTAATGTACAGCAGAAGTAGATATATGATTTGTCAAACTAAATTATATGAAAATTAAACTGCTTTTCAAAAGTGGATGCAGATTTTTTTCTGTCTTTCACAATCTAGAGCAGATGTAGATTACTTTTCTAAAGTTAGTAAGCATCTTCCTAAAGTACACTGATTTTTTTTTCTTTAATCATTTCATAGGCAGCAGAGCCACTATTCTGTGTTTTACACAGAACACATGCCTGCATCACGGCACACCCAGAACATTGCAGGTGTAGTCCAAAACTGCTACAGTAAAACACACTCAGCTGTATCCAAAACTGCAATTTATGATGATTAAGCACTAATAAATTGTGATCCCAACAGAAAAAAATGACTTCATGGACTTTGTTAGAGAGCTAATTCCACACAGCTTTTCCACAGACAAAGGGTACGGTTTGAAACACAGACTGCAAACTCCTTTATATGTCTCTGTACTATCCCAGAATTGTACAGTTCATATACAAAGGCTTTCTAAAAAAGAAAATTAGATATCTTTGTCAAAAATAGTACTCTTCCTCAATTAAATGAAACAGATACAATATATTTTAAGTGTAGCCTTATAATGATTGGAAACTGATAAATGACTGTGAGCAAATCAGGGATAATTTCTGACATGCTTATGCTACCTTTTAAAGACTATTTACCTCTATACAACCGCATAAATTTGCTCTAAAAGTTGTAACGAAAATTAAAATGAAATCATGAACATTGAACACAATGTATGTCTTTAAATTTAAAGTTTAAAAATCTCTATATTGCTAGTACTACAGATGCCAGTACTTTCCCATTACAATCATGTTTAAATGCAGACCAAATTTAACTATACAAGTTACAACTTACTTATAACCTTTTTTTTAGCACCAGTAATATATGTATATGGAGTATATGGAGTAACTATCTCCATATAATGATTATTTTGCAGTTTAGGAGAATACAACAATTTGAAAAAGGTTATTAAACTTTTTTATCAAGAAAGACTAATATTTTACAGATGTATGCTGTGTTACTTAAATCAGACAATTTTAGTTCGTTTTTCTTTTTTTCAGTCAAAGCCCAAGGCTTCACAGGAGCTCCAAATGCCTTTGCCTTCCAGAAACAACACACTACAGTGTTACGCCATTTTACATGTTCACTATGATTTGGTGATATTTTGTTTTATATACAAGTATCTTTTCACTACAATTTTTGTTATTGGTTTAAAAACATACATTTTGAAGAAATTTGTAATCAAATTCAATATATATTTAATAGATTAAATACTTCTAAAAAGTGCGGCAATATGCCATAGTGAGTTTTAACTCATAATGCAAGTGCAAGACCAAGGAATGTTTTACGCAAATAAATCATAGAGGCTTTCCTACGCTAAAGCTTAAGCAAGTGCAACATTAAACACTTTCAAGAAAGAATCACCTTTATGAATTGGATGATCCCAATATACAGAACATATTTACAGAGCTGCACTTGAAACAGGATATCTAACCTGTTGCTATACTAACAGGAAGTAGCAAGAAAATTAAGCTTCAGACTAAGTTTTTACTATTTACATTTCAGTCAACATAAAACTTTTAAAGATTGTAATATATGAGACTAATAAATAGAAATCACTGATATTAGAAAAACAGAAAATCAAACTCTGAAAACATGGCTTGGAGGATTTATTTCCAACAACAATGGATGCAATTCATCTTGAAACATTTTAATTACGCATTTCTCATATCGATTTTTCTCAACTCAACTTTAAGTTACAAATCAGAATGCATCAGAATGACTTAAAGTCATACTTGTGAGCAATTATTACCTTCATCATTTTAACATTATCTCCCATTCTGAGTGTTTTTAGCAACTATATAATGAAAAATAGAGGCATTTATTAAGTCAGAAAGTATACAGCTGCCAGATGTTACAATTACAAATAAAAATATTTAATTGCCTGTTGATGATTGTGCTTCGATCTGTTAGTACTATCTTTGATGTGTCAAGCACTTTAAAGGTAAAAAGTTAAGACAGAAAGGAATGCTTTGGTTCAGTAAACATATTTAAATATTTACCATTCATATGGGTAAAACTTATGGTGTACTAACCGTATAAATAAATGTATGGCATACATTTCAGGTCTCAAAGTGAAACAGAATCAAAACAAAAATTGCAAGACATGAAATTAATCAACTCCCCACAGGCTTATATTTTTAAAACTATGTAAAATGCTTTTGTTTTGCTCTTTTTTACTATTTAGCATAAGCATAGATCTAAGTAAAAAAGTTTTCCAAATTCAAAAATGCCTAATCTCCTTTAGTAGAAGAAATGTATGTGAAAACTGATGAATGTACACATACTAGGTTGTAAATATAAATTTTCTGTAATGCATATTCAAATTCTTCATCACATTCAACTTAAATCAGCTAGTTTGCTTTCACTAATACAAGTGCTGCGTTGACTAGAACTAGATCACAGCATCAAAAAGGCATATTTTACCTTGAATATGTAAATTAAGATAACCTGGCTAATAATACTAACAATGTGATACTGACTCCTATCTGTTCCAGCTTCAAGGATAACAAAAATTCAAATCCAAAAAAATAAGTCTGTGTTATATATGCCACAACAATCTAGAAGTTCTTCTGACTAGCCAAGGCTGTAGAGGAGATATCAGTGCTGCTGACAAAGGCTGTTAGCGTGTTTGGAAGAAGAAACTATTAGAAACTTTCAGGACAGTGTTGATCTGAATAAGCTCAAGAAATCTGTACTTTATACCAGAAATCTAATTCACACTTAATTTCTCTTTCCTCTTCCCCTAAAAGGATCATTTATGAGCTGATAACAGGAAAACTCAACGAGAAGTGGATGCCTACACTGTTTCAGTGTCCTGTTAATTCTATTCCAAAGCGTTTTGCTTGACTGATGTTAGAGCTCCAGTCAGCACAGTAAGTCAGGATATTCTTTTAATCACGCTTAACTTTAGAACTTCACAAGTAACCAGGATTCTGGCTAACTAAGCGATCACAGATGTAATAATACACAATCACATTTTTTTTTTTCCAAGAAAAGACCTCAACCATAGAGACATATAATCATCATCCCCACCACTATCCTTCCAATATTTACGTGAGGCAGTAATAGCTGTATGGAATATTTGGCTCTCATCAAAATGCAGCCAACAATTACTTTTATTACACATTCCCAACAGGCATACTCTAGCATGTCAACTAGAGCAAGGTTACATGTCCGTGAAATACAGAACATTTGTGATAGGAGAATCAAAGATTGTTAATCAAAAGAAAATATTAAGCCTGTAAAGCACATGCTGCTTAGCATCTCAGTTCTCCTTTGGACGCAGCAACTATGGTTAGTTGCCCTCAGCTACTTACCTTTCCTGCACTATGATGCTACTTCAGCAACAATAGTCTCGTCACAGATTGGTCTAAGATTAATCTACTTAGAAATGAAATTTTACACACTATTCTAAACTTAGCGTAGTATGTTTATCAGCTTAACTTGTCTCCTTTTGCTTCTTATCATGTGCTACAATAACACTGATGAATATCCAGCTAAGCTCATTACTCACAGACCACACAAAAATTTAACTGATATTTTTCTGTACAAAGTTAAATTGCCTCCACATTCACTTACAAAGAAGCATATATTTGATGTAATCAACTAAACTACCATTTATCTGATTATTCTTTGACAAATACGCTCCTTCAAATACAACAAGAAAAAGGAGAGTGTCAGAGTTTCTAAAATGACGGCAGCATCAAAATGGAAATATAACATGCAGGGAACAGAAGGCCCTGGAAAAACAATTATTTGTATCCATGATTATCAATGAGTAAATTAGGAATTTCCACATTAGGATCTTTATTTACAAAGACTATGCAGGATGATTTGCTTCATAGTCAAATACCACTAGAAGGAGATAGAGAATAAATATATAAAAGAAATAGCAGCAAGTCACCTATGCCATATGTGATTCATTTAAAAGATTTAAAGGAAATCACAGAAGAATTTCTAATCGTAGTCTGACATTACCTTCTTAAAATAGTCTTAAATCTACTATTATAACATTTACTGAAGTTCCTTGAAGAAGCAATCAAGAAAAACCCAACTGAAATAGTCTACCTGTATTTGAAATGGCTTTCAACAAAGTTCCACACTAAGAGTTCTTTTAAAAAAAAAAAAAAAAAAAGCTGTATTTTAAAGGGAAAAATATTACAGAATATGTGCTTTAATCACACAGTCAGGAACACCAAAACACCAGGCCCAATAAATGCTCACATATAAATACAGAAATGTCACAGTTTTTTCCAGGAATTTGTTTTCCAGGAACATGATCATTATTTTGGTTTTAATTTTACATTTGATGTCTCTGTTCTTATGAATAAAGTAATAATCCAGTTGCATATTGACACTCTCTTTCTACTTTTTTTCCTAGAACGCGTACAAATGAGTTTTGAAAGCACTCGCTATTACCAAAACCAGCAGAAGTAGTCATGCTGTTGTATTAGCACAGTTATACAAATTCCCCCCTGCTAAAGACTGGAATCTCTTATAAAAGTGCCTTGTATAAAAGGTTTAAGTTAAGCAAGCAGAAATTATTTTTAACATTTTAAAAGTGGTCTCACCTGTTCTTCATATTTTGGAATCTGATTCACTGCACTCAGTGCATCACGAGTCTCCTGAAGTTGCTCTTCCAGCTGACAAATCTTTCGATCTCTTCCAAGTAACTGGTCCTGAAGAGAGGCATACTTTTGCTGCAGTTGGATTTCATTTGTTTTAACAGTTTCAAAACATGAAGTCAATTCCTTATAGAGCTATTGGGGAGGTAGTAATACAAACAGACAAAAACAGGATTAGAAGTAACATCGGTGAAAATAACCACATAAAAAAAGGAGGTGATGAGGCCACAAAGATGTTTTGATCATTCTTCATATTTGTTGCCCTCCTGCCTCCATTCAGCAAAAATGCGGTTTGCATTTGAAAATAGTAACTGTAGCACTAATATGGAACTTTAAACAGGACTTAAAGAGAAGTTTTTCCAGATAAGCACTATTTGCATTGGAATCTTATCAGTTTCAACTGTTTTTAATGGTCTTATGAAAGGAGACAGGTATCTACGAACCTAAAAAATCAATATTTATTTCTTGACTCATTTATATAAAACACAGAAAAATTTAAAAAATTTAAAAAACCTCTCACTGGGAAAATTTATATTAAAAGCAGATAACTAACTATGCTGTATAACATTTCTATCTTGTGTAAAATAGTTTCATCTTTTAAACCAAAACTTAGTATGGCTTAGATAACACATAGCATGAATTCAGTAACGCCCACTGCATCTTAAATAGTGTAAAGTTGTTGTTTAAATAAGTACTCTGCAGGATGTTTTTTGACATGAGGTATGAAACTCAAATTTATTACCAGAAATTTTTATCCCAACTGTCATTCAACTGTTCTTGCTGAAGCCAGAAAATAATACATATTCTGTATATATTCCTCTATCCCTTATAACAGATGTATTTCATACATACCAAGTATTTCTAGAACTACATGTAAATAACAATTAGCATACATGTTATGTGTTAAATAAGAAAAAAGTACAGAGAACAATAATATTTCTAAAGAAAAACAGAAGAACTTAACAATAATCCTCCATTTTTACTTTTTTCCTTTATACAAAAGCCCACACACTGGTGAAAAAAAAAGTTTTTTAAAAAGTTAAATAACAGCTCAGATTTTGAGGAAATGGTTGATTTTAAATTTTATTACACAAATATATTTTCTTCCATCTCTTATCTTTCCAATTCTTTATCCCTTTTTGACTGCACTTATTTCTCAAAATAAGCAATTTTCCATCTGACTACTTAATTTATTATGAGCTAATCCATACAAGAATGCGCTTGCTCAGCTGACAGTTCTGTTTAGAAAACTTATTTCTGCCACTAAATCCAAAAGAAACTAATTAAATATTTAAACTAGATTTTCAGAATCTATAAATAATTTCTTAGGAACAATTTCTAAGGAACAATGACATGTAAAAATGTCATTTTACTCTTGACAGAATCACTTTGCCAGCTTTACTCCATTTGCTACACATGTCTCTATCTCTCCTTCTTCCTCTCTTTCATTTGGCCTGTTTATGTGATTTAGATAGTGAACTCAATGGAAAAAGCATGAAAACTTAGGTTTGCAAGTGCTTTGCCTACCACTTTAAGGGCAAATCTGGTAACAATAAATCCCCTTCCTTTTTCCTTCCTCCTGTAGCTTCCTACTCCCAAAATCCTGTGGTTTTCCACTCTCAAAATCCAATTTGGACAAAGTGGATTATTTCTTCTCTGTCCTTAAGTATAACAGAAACGCTGTCTCTCAAGATTAAATGAATTCTAAGGCCATATATTTTGATATGTTAACCATTAATCTGAATTTTAAAGCTTTTTTTTCATTGAAATGTATGTACCTACTGAATCTTTTCTTTATTTTAAAAAGCTTTCACTACCTTTGGAAATGAAAGTTCAGAATTAGCCAATTACTTATGGAAAGCAGTATCACAGAAGCAAATAACCAGTTCATTTATCAAAAACATGCATTTTTAGATAATATCCTTTCACAAGAATGCAATATTGAGACACGGTTACTTCCAGCTATAACTACAGAAGCTCATTAGCTAGATCATACTGGTATGACAATTTGCTAGTTTTACGACTAAGAGCACTTAAGTGGTTGTAATTATAGTATTTGAAAGGTAGCATCCTAGTAAGATGAATGGAGAACATCAAAAGTATGATGCTTTTTTTCTAGCTGGCACAGATCCTTAGCAGCCACATCCCCTAATGTACCTAATGGGTATTTTTGATAGTCAGCATTTGTCAGGACAAGACAAATAGCATGTCTTTTACGTGCATAAAGTTTTCCAACCTTTCCCGCTTTGAAATCAAGAAAATAAACAGATTTCTACTATAGCCAAAACTAAAGCTACATGCAAGGAAAATTCTTAGCAATCACCTACTTTTAGACTGAGTTTTATGTAAGTTCTCTAACCTTTGATTTACTAGTTCATATGGGTGAGATTTGAAAAAAAAGGTATTTAATATCAGGATAGTTCAAAACTAAAAAGAGATAGTTTTATCTAGTCTTCAGAGATTACTGGAGCAGCTTACAAATTTCCATTTGGCTCCCTAACTTTTCATTTATGGCCACAATCGCTGTTCTGTGGATTAAATACATGCTTAATGTTTACATGGGATTTTTTTTTTCTAATTTTCTGCCAACTGCAGTCACCCTGCAGTAAGTAACAGCTTGTATTCCAGAACAGAATGAATTGCACAACATGGTCAAACAGGTCTACCATTAATAAAGCCAGAAACACATATGAGGAGAGACAAGATGTAAACTGAAAATCAGAAGACTAGACAGGAAAAAATCCCCAAAAAGACAAAAATGCAATAAATCATTTATCTCCGAACCAGCAAGTATTGCAGAAAATGTGAATGAAATCTGGAGTCTATTCTACGAGAATGGTTATACTCTATGTGAATGTCAACAGGTTAAGACATTTGCCCTAGATAAATGAAAAAAAATTGCAAGGGTTGTTTATAGGAGACAAAGGAAAATATTTAAAGTAATTCCTTATACATTTTACAAAATTTGGTAGGTAGAAAAAATTACAGCAATCAGTGACAGAAAGCTGCATTCTACAAAATTTATTGCATGGGTTGTACTTTGAAACTGCCATACCACAGACTCATACTTTCTTCAATAGGTAACATACACTAGGACAGGTAAAGATATTAAAAAACAAATGAAAAGATATTAAAAGAAAAAATAAGTATGCATTAATAGATTTAGTCTGTATGCTGTAACAGCATTACTGATCAGCCAGGAAAGACCAGAAACTTTTGACTTAGAAAAAATATTATCTCCTCATCTTTCTCAGTAACCCTAACCATTTTCTATATTGATTCAACTGATTTTTACCAGAAAACACTTTCTTTCATTTCTTTCTTTTTCTTTCTCTTTCCTTTTCTTTCTCCCTTTCTCTTTCCTTTTCTTTCTCTCTTTCTCTCTCTTTCTTTCTTCTTTTTTTCTTTCTCTTTCTCTCTTTCAGGAAGGTTAAGAAAGAAAACTTCATAGAAAATGAAGTCTTCTAATAAACTTCATCACAAATGACAGGTATGCTTGATGTCACCAAGTCAGCTAAAAACACCAGGACAAAGCTAGGATAATGGATTCCAGAATAACTGAAAGACATGATAAAACATGTGATAAAACACTTAACAGTCTAATAATATTGGGATGAGATTAAGTGCTGAGATACATTAAATAAGATTTGGGATAAATGGGATGCTAAATACATGAAGTAGTTACTGAAAATGCAGAAGACAGAATGAAGACTGAGATGGGAGAATGTGATGACAAAATTAAATCAAGCCAAAGCAAGCTGAAGAATTCCAATAAAACCTAACAAAATCAGATAAGTAACCGATGTTATCCAATGTATTATGCCTCTATTGTGTATTACCCAGAACCCAAGTGCAGCTGAAAAGAATCTGCAGAGTGAAACAGTCAGCACTAAAACCGACACTCCGATTATACACATTGAAGGGATTTATGGTAAACTAGACAGATCTTACAGATGGAACATCGATTAACAACCGGGACACATTTTCCAGTTTCTTTTACTCCAAAAGGAATTCAGTTAATGCTCTCATAGATTATTCTGTGGTATCAACCAAATACACATAGTGGAGATTGATGGGAAATTTCCTTTAAAAGTACACACTCTTGTGAGTACTTAAACACTAAGGTAGATACACCCATTAAAATGCAACAGTAGCCAATTAATATACGCAGAATATAAAATGAATATTTTCTTTTACTGATTGTTGTTACCAGTGCTCACCATTGAAAAAAACAAATATTCTGGTCTCATTCCACAGACTAGAACACATGTGCCTAAGCACATGGTAATGGTAAAAATGTTTAAAAAAAAAAAAAAAAAGCTAGCCTAAATTAAGATAATTGGTAAATGGTAAAACTGTAAGGGAAGCTACTATAGCACCATCACAGAAATTCATGTTATAAGATTGTATTGCTCATGAGCACTTGAAAAGAACAAGGACAGAAACCAGCAGGGGAAGCTGAAGAGGCACTCAGTGCATTTAGTATTAAAATGGAAAAGCAGCAATAGTGTATGTTTTTTAAGAGAGTGAGCATTAAAAAAAAGGGAGGGCAACAAAGGGAGGGAACGGATATAAGTACGATCAGACAGGATGAGGTTAACTAGTAACAAGTAACAACTACTAACAAGTAACAAGTACAAGAGAAAAAAGTATTTTCCTCAAAGTTGTAGTGATATGTAATTAAAAATATTTATAGCTGTTCTGGAACTGTTTGCAAAATGGGTTTCTTTAGCTACATAAATGATAAAAAATAACTGGAGATATAATAAAGGAAAAAAGTCATTTTGGTCCTGTTGATGCCCCTATGAAAAGTTCAACTCTAGAGCCCATTTACTTCAACGAATCACCTGCATTCCTGATTGAAAAAAAAATATTTATGTTACTATTGTAGCTTTCCAGCATCCATTCATCTTACCAGTTTTGTGCAACTACTTGTGCTGATATCCTCTAATGGTGAGGCTTGTTGTTTTTTGTTTTTTTTTCTGAATAGATAAAACTGACATATTTTTCTCGTAAAGCATGTACAACAGCAACTACTTCTCTGTGAAATGCTACCAAAATTCATTTAGATCTCTGGTATAATATACTGCCAGAGAATATTCAGTAGGCTTATGAAGAATACTAGTCCCAGATAATCAAAAAAAAAATCATATTGCATATAGTTAAAAATTCTCTGTTGTGAGACCAATCTGATTAAGATGGAAAATACAGTAGTATTTAGATCTTATAACTTGAACTCAGATCAAACTAGTTTTTAAAAAATATTTCAATCTGCTTAATATCAAGATTTTTCTTCCTTTCTTCATGTTTTGATCCTTTTGCACCAAGAACTTGCCACTTGACCTAATTTCATCCACATTTCTTACATTTTAAAAAGTACTGCATCATTGTCAGAAATATTAGAAGGTCATATGCAAACATTAGTGACAAATCTAGGATTCGGGATAAACTGTTTCTTTTTTATATTATATTTTACAGTTCCAGATGTACAAAAATATTCACAGAAAGTATAGCATACATTAAAAACCTCAGGACACTATTTCTTCAAGCATGATAATGATAGTGCGTGAGTATAGTGTTTAACATTACCCTGAGAGTACCATACCTTTACAAAGGATTTCTTCATCTTTATTCCACAGGCTTGTCTGATGCCAAAGCCTACTTGCTATTGTATCACTGACTGTACTGGTATTTGGTACAGAATAAATAAGTAGAATAAATAGAATACGCTAATTAACAGGCCTCCCAACAACAGAAAAGTACATCAGAGCATGAACAATATCACATAAGCAAATTGGACTGAAAAAAAAGATGATTCACTTACTACTGACTTGATTTAGGTATATTTGACTAGACAAATATATCTCTTATCTTGTGTGAGAGAACGTATGTGTCTTTTCCTAAATTAAGGAATAAGCTGCATTATTACTACTATTTATAGACATACATGGCTGCAGTTTTACTTTGTGAATTTAATCCCATTTGCATAAAAATATAATAATTATAACTGGGGCTGCTGTAGTCCCCCATAAGACTAGGTAGAAATGGTGAAACTTAACCTTTAAAAGGCAAGGCCAGTAACTTATTATTTTGCTTATAATTTCTCACACTTGAAGGAAGGTACTCTCTCCATACAGTGACTATGAGAAGAACTGTCAAAACAACTTCAGTCACAAAATTAATCACAATATATGAAAATGTATCTGATGTTAGTCTATTTTCTAAATACTTGCCTATTTCTACAACACCTCATAATTCACTGTGCTTTCCAATCATGCCAAAAATCTAGCTATTGAGCTATGCTCAATACATCTCATACATCCATTGTATCATTATCCACCATACCCTGACTCAGGAGCAAATTTAGTTCCAGGACACAAACCTGTTTTCCTGTTTAATGTCAAAGAATAATATTTCTATATGACTAATACAGTCTTCCATTAATAGACTTCCAATCAATACGATTAACATGATTAGGAAGGAATCTAAAGGCAACATCAGACCAAAGGGAAGTACTGCATTATGAAAACAAAGGCCCTAACTTGTAAATTTAACAAAACTATGGTAAGCTGGCTAAGGAGTTCAGAATCTCTTCTTGTCTTATTATCTCTAGTATTGATTGAAGTCTCTCCACCTTGAAATTGCCAGCGAGGACAAATCTATCGAGTCTCATTAAATCCAGCAAAGCAATGAAGTCCCCTGAGTTTCTGGGACCACTTAAACAGATACTATACATTTTAGAAAAACATTCTCTATCTTTGAGGATAAGAACTGCAGCTGCAACATCAAATAGATACCTATTTGTTTCCGTAAATGGTCTCACCTAAATAAGTTACTGTAGATTACAGTATCCTTAAAAATCGAATGAATAAAGAAGAAAAAGAAAGGAAAAAGCAGGAGTATGTCCATGAGTCAGTACAACTTGATAAGACAGATTATTCATCTTCGCATGTGTACCGCACCCACTGTAGTTGGACTTGGAAAAGAATCTGTGGTCCTCAACAGATTTACACATAACCCAGTGAAGGTTCATGACCTTTATCTGGTTTATCAGAAATGTAATTTATTTTATTCAGCCAACTGTTTCCTACTACACGTTAACATCAGCACAAAGAGCATTTTTTCCTAAATGGTAGGCTGTGAAGACGAACTATGTCAGCCAACCACATTGCCTAAGCTACAGCATACATTGCCTATCTGACCACTAACAAAGAGGTCATTGATCTTCCTGTAGGGGACAATATATCATGGGATGTACACACTGATAGGCTCCATGCCATCTGGAGCAATAGGAAAATATTCCTTTGTGAATATGTCTATGGAATAGCTGACACGTCCTTATCTAGCTGTTGCAGCCAGCATATTATTAATGCATGGGAGACAAACAGAGCACACAAATGTCTGGAATAGTTTCCCTTCCTGTTTCAAGGAAAATGCAAGCATTTGTATTATTTTATGGTTGCTGAGTTTTCCAAAGGAGTACTCTGACTTCAGCAGAAGCACAGAACAGAAGGTCCTGACATGGGGAAAGACTCCTCCCTTTGCGTAAGTTAGGTTCTCTCGTCTCAATTCGGCACACATTAAGAAGATCCATTGCATTTGACTTACAAAGCACAACTCCTTTTCTGAATATTTTTACAAAGATGAGAATGAACAGACTGTTTCCAGGTGCACTTCATATCTTGACCAAGAGAAATACTAAGAGATGGCTTCCAGTTCCACACTAGACACTTTTGTTGCAGTAAATGGGTTGTCTTCAGATGCTTTAAAATAAAAACCTTAGTCTTCCATGTTGGAAAAATACTGAATTCAGCACCTCCAAAAGGACACATTTTGGGGCCATCTGTGAATTGAAGCATTTGGCAGGCATCAAAAAAGTGTTTATACTCCAACTTTGTTCTTGTTGTGTCATTAGGTAAGCTGCCAGAGCAGGTTTTGTCTTCAGTTAGGAAAGAATAAGAAATGCTAACTAGTGTTCTGACGTGGCCATGAATCTTGGCCCAAACCTAGTTTATAGGCTTGTCAAGATAGCTACATAAAAACAGATATAACCACCTATTTTTTTCTAATATTACATAAATTATACTAGCAAAAAAGTATAGCAAGTTTTCATATAACAAGTTTAATTCTTCCCCAACTGAAGTCAGCCATACTGTCAAATCCAGGACCATACAGGTACCACACCATACGGGATAAAGTCCAATGTTTGTTTTTTGAAAAGACACTCTCAGTGCAAAGCTTGAGAAAACATTCCAAAATTGCTAGAACACATGTAAATGTTGCATCTACCTATGTCTTCTACCCTACTGTTCTTAAAAAGGAAAGAAACACATTGTCTCCATTTCTAAATACAGAGTGAAACCCTACCTTTCTTATAAGATATTGTCAAAAAGAAAAATTCTGGATAGTACATGTGACATTTCTTCTGACTATTACTACTCCTAGCATTCACCAAATACACATCTGTTCTCTCTCTCTATATATATATGTATACACATATAAGTGAGAGAGAGAGATGTACTCACAAATTTTTGAATTAGCTATCCATCTAAAAAACTAACATAGTCAGTTTTTCAATTATTTTTGCTGCAGAAGATTTTGCATCCGGATTGAACAAAACAAAACAAAAACTTTTAAACCAGAAAGACTGTTTAAGATTTACAAAAAGAAGTGATTTATGAATGAATGTAAAAATCTAGTCAAATTTGAACTGGAGAAGAAAAACACAGAAAAAAATTAGGCAAAGTAGTTGTTATGCTTAGCAATTTACTCTTATTTTTGTTCAAATGAAAGTAAAATTTACTTTTTAAAGGCTGATTAATTTAACATTAATAAGTGATATGCTGCGTTGTAGTTAGGGCAAAAGAGCCCTGATACTCTACAAACCATATTTTGGTAAAAACAAGGTTCTCTGAAAGGCTAAACACTTCTGTGTGCTTTGACTATTCTGCCCATTGATATGGGGCAGATAGATACTAAAATTAACTTGAAAGAGACATACTTTCTGATATGAAATTGTTTCAGCTGTATGGGCATCTTCCTGATCTTTCAGTGCTTTTTGTGCATCTGTATTGAGAGTTTGAAGCTGCTGGATCATCTCAGCCTGCTGTGCTGTATACTCCATGTTTTGTCTGTAAAGATTCTGCAGCTCCAGTAACTCCTTCCTGTTCAAAGCAAGCAATAAAGGGAAATTAAGCAAAGAACAGCAATGCTCTCAGTTAAAAATCTGTGTTCAGATAACTTTATTGTACATAATGAATATCCTGTACGTAATTATTTTTCTATTATCTGCCTTATAAGCACAAAAAGTTACATACATAGCATTTACTGCAACCCTTCGAAAAAGAAGTCTACACATCATGTTTCAAAAAAAAAGTCTTTCAACTTATGCTTGAATGCCCTGATGCTTTAAACAGTCATGGTGTTGAAGGGTTTATGGTTGGACTCAATGATCTTTTCCAACCTTAATGATTCTTGAATTCTATGATTACTCGATTGACACTTTCTAACCAGTACTCTGTGAACTTTAGCAGTTGTATACCAAAATGTAAAACATTTAAAATACAGCTCTGTAAGGTACATTTAATCTTTGTTTCTAAAATTGAAATAACACAATAAAGATAAAAGTTTTATTTAGATTGTGTAATACGTGCAACGTTATGTGATTATTCTATGAACATGATTCTATGTCCTGAAATGGACCTGGTATTTGGATACTTCTGATTGAATATCCTTTAATAATTTATCTGAGAGTATAACATACCTCAATAACTACAAAGCAGGTGAAGAGACTTTGGAGTGTATTACATAACATGATATAGTAAAATAAGATTTAGAAACCCTACAACTTAAAACTGTGCTGTAATGAAATCTGAGGATGGATCTATAATAATCAAGCTGCTTGAAAATCTTTATATCTGATAAATATTAGAAATTAAGGCAGAAATTAAAGATCATTAACTCTTAGTCAATTAAACAATTATTAAAAGCCTCAAAAATTCTGTATTTCACTTCAGTTGACTTTATTAGTCTCTTTTCTATCATAGAATCATAGAATGCTTAGGGTTGGAAGGGACCTCTAGAGATCATCTAGTCCAACCCCCTGCACACGCAGGGTCACCTAGAGCACGTGGCACAGGACTGCGTCCAAGCAGGTTTGAAGATCTCCAGAGAAGGAGACTCCACAACCTCTCTGGGCAGCCTGTTCCAGTGCTCTGTCACCCTCACTGTTAAGAATTTTTTCTTTAAGTTCCTGTGAAACTTTTGGTGTTTCAGTTTGCGACCATTACCTCTATGCACAAGCACATTTGAAGTAAGTGTTAAGCAGAGACAGTGAACTTTTCATTTACTCATTTACTCGTTAACCACCTGCAATCACAGAACTGCCAAGTGACTGAGGTTGGAAAGGTCCTCTGCAGATTTCCTGGACATCACCTAGCCCAGCCCCTCTGCACAAGAAGGGTCACCATGCACCTTGCATGGGATTGTATCCAGGTGGGTTTTGAGTATCTCCAAGAAGGGGACCCTACAATATCTCCTGTGAACTTCCTCCAATGCTCTGTCATCCTCACAATGAAGCATTTTTTCCTCAAATTCAGGCAGAATTGAATTGTGAACAGAGTGTCCTATCGCTGGCAACCACTGAAAAGAGTCTGGCCTCATCTTTTTGATACCCTCCCTTAAGATATTTGTTTACCCTAATATCATCTCAGACTTCTCTTCTCTAGGCTAAGCAGTCTTTCAGCCATTCCTCATGAGGAAGATGGTCAAATCCTCTACTCATCTTTGCAACCTTATGCTGGACTCTCTCCAGTAGTTTCATGTTTCCCTTAGGTAGCTGAGGATACCACTGGTCTTCTTGGTCCCAAGGGCACACTGCTCTCAGGGACAGTTTGCTGTCCACTAGGACCCCCAGGTCCTTCTCTGCAAAGCTGCTCACCAGCAAATCAACCTCCAGTCTGAACTAGTTAACTGGTATGGGGTTATTCCTCCCTAAATGCACAACCCTGCACTTGCCTTTGCTGTACTTCACAAGGTTTCTTCCTGCCCATCAATCCATCCTGTTCAAGTCTCTATAAACAGCATAGCCACTTGGTGAATCCATGCTGACTACTACTGATCACCAGGATGAGTTGTTCCACCTTTCCAGGGACGGAGGTGAGGCTGAACAGGATCTTCCAAAGGGTCCTGTGGTCATAGAAACCAAAGCCCTGTTGCCAACACCAGCAGCTCAGCCAGTTGTTAACCTTTAAAATCCATCTACTTCTCCTGACATCTTTCCACATCACTGGCAGGATTAAGGAGAAAAAAACCCTAGGCTGCTAGACCACCACCCCCATAGCTGTGAAATTCATTTCTGATGGCCTCCAGTTTTTCATTGGTGCCCTCATGGAAGAGCAGAAGAGGGTAACAGTCAGATGTGTGCACAAGTCTTGGCAGCCTTTGTATTGACATCTTAAATTTGAGCTCCTGGCAGTCAACAAACCTCACTAGACAAGTCAGCTAGATGCCTCCTACCCTTGCAGCAGGGCAGCACCACCAGCAATCACTCTCTTCAGTGTGCTGAATGCTTGTGCGTCAGGATTAGTAGGAAGCCCAACAGTGCAGTGTTGTGTCTATTATATACCACCAGATCAGGAAGACCAAGAGTTGAGGTCCGCTTTAGATGACTAGAAGCAGCCTGATGTTTGCAGGTCCTGATCCTCAGGGCCAACTTCAGTTGCCTGTTAACTGCTCGAAACAGTAGGGCACAAGCAATCCAGGAGCAGGTAATCAAGGAACTGAAAAGGAGAGGTGTTCTGTTGGAGGAAGCACTGGTCAGGGATGTGAAGGCTGGGGAACACCTTGGCTGCGGTGACCATGAGATGACAGCCTTAAATATGCAGCACTACTTTTCCAGATTGAGCATAAGAAAAAGATATGTAAAACCTTATGTAAAGCTTACATTGCTTCAAAGGTATTTTAAACCTTTACCAAAGACCTAAATAAATTCCTTCTGGCTGATAAGGCTTGACTAATTAAAATATTAAAATTAGACTTGAAATTCATAAGTCTAGGACACTTAGCTTCTCCATTTTTTTTCCTGTTACTATTGGGACTTTTTGACTCTCAGACCCAATGATAAGTATAGAAGTGTGAATTTTGATGCCTATTGCTTCTTATATAATTATAATAATCTAATAAGAACCAAAACATGAGAGACGGTCTGCATAACTTCTTACTCACCAGTAGATATCCAGAAGTTTTATACTTTTCAAAACAGAAGGGGATGAAAATGCATTGTTTCACGAAAACCATCTCTAACACGAGGTAACACTTTCTCAGTGCCGTGGCTGAGAAGATTTGGAATTACAGCTAAAGAAAGCATGAAATACTTGCCTTGCTCTCGTCATATCATAATCCTTTTGGGAGAGTTCTTCCTGCTTCACAGCTAGCTGAGATGACAACTTACTGCATTTACTGTGCAACTCTCTCATTTGTTCTCTTGTCTCTGTTAAATCGTTTTCTAAATTCTGCAAATAAATAAAATTTAAAGTATAGTGAAGGTAATGTAAAAGAAAGAGCTAAAAACCTTTTGTGTGTGCCATGTATTTATGTATATAAACATGTACTTGCATCACCCTTATATTTATTGCTAAGTAAATGTACATGTATCTTTGTACTCACATGTGCACTTCTATAGGAGTATGAAACGAATACTAAATTTCATACAAACTCTATGTTTGATTTTGCATAGATATTTATTCCTTGCTGTAAAATTGTTCTTTATTTGTTGCATGTCAAAGGACAATCGTCAATCAAACATTTGCAAAGCAATAGTAAGCTACATGACTATTGATTAAATCTTTCCTTTGTAGAATTCAAACAGAAGAAATCCAATCCTAACAAAACAACAACTATATTGTTGCTGTTTTCAAATTATTCTACAATTGCGCAGATTTCATACATGGAATTAAAATTATGCCTAAGGACTCATTTTTGAGACTGCTTGTTGAATGGCATAAATGAAAGCATCTGTTTCTGCACTTGCAATTCAGGAAAAGAAACGGCACACAAGAAAAAACATTCTGTGAATGATCATTTTTAAAAATGTAAACAAGAAACAGTCTACCTTTTACAGTAAGTCTTTGTGTAAAAGTTAGTGAGCAAAGTGTGAAAGTATTTCTGGGGAATACGCTGTCGAGATAGCTTGCCCAGGCAAGGTTTAGATGTTTCTATATAGCCACCTTATCAAGGTTCTTTGGGGGTTTAGCAGACTAGAGCAGTAGCACTTCAGTCCTCAGCTTTGCACATAAGCAACAGCAGGTTTTGAAGGCAAGAACAGAAACAGAACAAATATAAGCTCTAGAGCAGAGTTTCAGAAGTTGCTAGTTCCTACCCCTGGACCTACACTGGTATCATTACACATGGACAAAATCTCTTGCTCTACCTGAGCCAAACATTCCAGGATGGCGCAGCAGACTGAAATGACTAAATCTTGATAGGACAGCACCTCATTTGTCGCCAGTAGGACAGTAGTTTCTCCTTGTTTTGACCAGAGACTTGGTAAAAGAAATATCAACATGCATATTTTTCCCTTTCAGCATAGATGCCTCAAATATTGAGCATATTAAAACATTTTTAGTGCGAAATGAAGTTGTCTTTAACCAATTTCCCTAAAACTTGATTAGGAAGAGCACATGGTTCTCAATTTCACATTCTTCAGGTTGTCTCCTGCAGGGCTGCACAACTTTATAATACAGAAATAGTCTATATGAACTAGAGGAACTTCTTAATCGTTGTTATACTAACACGCAGCTCTGATTCTGTCTGGCTGAAGGAAGAAGCACACACAGGCACACATGCACACACATGTATACTGCTAACTAGCATAAGGTAAAAGAGAAAGATTGACCCACATTGTCCTTGGAAAGTGGGGAATGTGCAGCAAACTAGCTTTTCATACAGCTTCACAGCAAAACTGGATTTCCCTGGTTTGAAGGAAAAGTCCTGGAACGGGCTGCCCAGAGAGGCTGTGGAGTCTCCTTCTCTGGAGATCTTCCAAACCCCCCGGGATGTCACCCTGTGCCACGTGCTCTGGGTGTCCCTGCTGGAGCAGAGAGTTGGACTAGATGATCTCTAGAGGCCCCTTCCAACCACAACCATCCTGTGAAAGGTAAATAATAAGTTGTTTTTAAAATAACTTATGTTATACATATCTGGATGCATAAGAAGCATACTAAGAACAAATTGTTTTTCATCACACCCTGTTAATACTTGCAATGCACATTTTGTGAAACAGCAGAATTCATGAATGAAGTAAAACTATTTGTTTCATGTCATGATAAGCCTCAGTTTATATACTCGGTGAACCTGACTGATGAGTCATCATTTGATCTTGAAGGCTGAGTAGCAAAAATTACTTCTACTCAGACAATAAATAATTCAGAATGGCAGGAGACAGATCATTCTATTGACAGAAAAAGGTTGAAGTGCCATCACGTATTATGTTGGTGTCATAAAGTATTGTAATATGTGAGATTATTTCCCACTTACAACTTTTAACTTAATAAAAATTATAAGAGTTTAATTTTTTCCTGAATAAATTGTTTGCATTTCTCTCTCAACAAGCTAAAAAATAGTATTTTTCATGGAACATATTCTTACCAATGATGATGTTAACAAAGCTTAAGCTTCCAACATACAATGCAGAGTAAGGTACAAAGATCAGAAGACAAATGGCTTTGTCATTAGTACAGTTGTATATAAAGTCACATGAGGGCAAAAGTTAAAACCAAAAGAAAAAAAAAATCATCCAGTGACTGTGACTCACCCTAGATCTGGAACATGTAATTTCAGGTTTTAGTTTCATCTAACTAAATGAATTTAAGTCGATAACGGTTGACTGGCCAGGAAATTTCCTGAAAGCACTACTGAACGGGTGGGAAACACGGGCAAAAAAAGGTGCATGGACTGATGGGTTACGCAAATAACTTGTACAGTGAAATATCATATATTCATTAGAATTTATCCATCATTCAATCTTCTAAGATTACAAAATATAAACTTTTACCCTCAAACTATGAGTAACTTCCTTTTTTAAAATTGTATGGAATTTATGTTGCTTTTTATAGACAGTTTAGAGCTGTCTATACTTGATCTTTATAACTTGATCTTTTAAAATAGTCTGAAATATATTAAAGCAAATTAAGTACTACGTAAGATACACTAGGTTGAAATTTCTAAAAATTTGGCTATATATTTGGAGGGAAAGGAATGGATATGAAACAGAATAACAAAAGATAACATGCATATTTTGATATGCATGTTAAATGATAACAATATCATTTAACATCATTAAATGATATGTTTCTTTAAAACAGTACTGAAAGCAAATAATGCAAAAGAAGTCTACTTTTAGCATACTTGCACTATTTTATTTCCATCTGTGAAAACTGGTCACCCTAATTAAAATTAAGTGAAAAGCAGAGTAATAATTGAGGATAATAAAAACAGGAATATTTTAATCACTTCAAGTTCCAAAAATAAAAAGTCAGGAAATTAAGAAGTGAGGTGAATTTCAAAGCACAACAAACATGAAAAGTAAAACACATTGACAAGGCAGCACAGTTCCATGTAGCAGTATCGTGTATCTGTGTTTTCAAAACTGTTAGAGACACACTTTTAAACACTGTAATTTCATTTTCCTTTTCATCTTGTTATGTATCATTACTGAGTTAAAATATTTTTTTTAAGTTCTTGCATGCCAGTATTCAGTATGCACTTTATTTCTCTGTGCAACTAGAAATCCAGGCTCTTGAGAGAGAGAGGGAGAGGTTTCTTAAACTGTTGTTTTAACAGAGAATAGCCTGTATGTTTCTTTAGGAATGTTATTTTCAGACATTAATTACTTTTAAGAAGTCCACTATCAACTAGGAAACAAGCAAATGTATTTCACCGTCTTTCATAATTAACAATGTAATGAATTAACAGTAAGGTATTCCATCTTTGATAATACTGAATACACACCTTAGGTAAACCCCCTCTTCACTCGCAACAGCACCAAGCTTGCATCAGCTTACATCCTAGCTCACTCCTAACTATCAAGACATATTCATGCATATGGTGGCAGATTATGAGTTCTTCAGCTCACACTAAGTGACACCCTGAGAAGCCTGGGAAGGGCAAGACCTACTTGAAGGCTGAAAGCAAAGAATACAGAAGCCCAGTGCTAGGTATATTCACGCACTGTATCCGATTTTATGAAGGCAAACCGTAAGAGAAAAGGGCCACTTATTCTAGCCATAGTGAGCTCTCTTCCTGACAAAACAAATCCTTAATACTTCCTAAATATTCATAAAAAGGGCAACCTAACCATAATAGTGTTTCATTCTGTTTTGAAACAAGTTGAATTTTATAATTCACTTTGGGTTCTAGTAGGCCTGGAAACAACTGCACCGGTGACACTTTTACACTGAAAACTGTTTTTAATCTTGACAAAATAAGCTAGTAGCATTTAGTTTATGGAAGGCCATTTGTTCAAAAGGAAACAGGCTGCCCAGAGAGGTTGTGGAGTCTCCTTCTCTGGAGATCTTCCAAACCCGCCTGGATGCCACCCTGTGCCACGTGCTCTGGGTGTCCCTGCTGGAGCAGGGGGGTTGGACTAGATGATCTCTAAAGGTCCCTTCCAACCTCAACCATTATGTGAGTTTGTGAAACCTTGGAGAAACTATGATATATAGCCTGATGTCCTTGAGCATTTAAAACATTTTTTTTTAAATAATGTTAACATAGTTTACACTGATCATGTTTGATTCTATTTTTCTAGGGATATAGAAGACTGGTTCGAACAATTTCTGTATCCATCATCTATAAAACTGTTCAATAGCTTTTGTTATGGAAAACAGTGTATTAAAAAAAAAATCCTAATAACTTGAGGCTGAAAGAAAAAAATGGCTTTCAGAAGGAGATGGAATTTCTAAACCTTTACAGAACACTTTTATAAAATGCTATCACCATTTTAACAATCACTTAAGAACACTTAAGAACAACACCACAAAGCAATGATTCCATCATTAAATTTACTCATAATTTGTTATTTTTAAAAAAAGCATTTAAACTACATGTTACACTGGTCCATAACAGATAATCTGCAGCACAATATACTGTAGTGTAGTATGTTTGTATTCAGTCTCTGAGGATAAGGATTCTACTGTCTATGTTGTTTGTAAGTATCCTTTTAAAAGTCATCTGGCATCCTATATTGATTCTGGAGCATGTCTAGTAACAGAAGTGGGTGAGCCAGAAAGAGAGAGATGAACTCAAAATTTAAGCAAATGTCGGCCAGCGGTGTACACATAAAAATAGCACTGACCTGCGGAACTAACAGATTTCTGTGTATTTTTATGAATGCTTACTTACCAAATATGGATCAAAAATAATGAGAAAAAAAATATACTCCTGCTCCCTAGAGATCAAATACAACAGTTATATCATACAGATATTATTTAGTAATACGCTTTTGAAACCTTAAGACAGTCTTGGGAGAGAACCCACTTTGGCTGGTGTGAGGCCTCCTGTCTAACGGGAAGGGATGACAACACGCAGAGGTG